AGAAAGGTTTATTGCAGAGATCCTGCAACTAATCAGAATCAGAATCATGTTTATTCGCCAAGTACATTTCATGCACAAGGAACTTAGTCTCTGTGTACGTGATGCTGCGAAAACATTCTTTATGTACTGTACCATACACAACAATACGCTAGACATTATTAGGACAGTGCACATACATACTGTATAATTAGGAATTCTGGATAAGTGAAAAAAGAGCCCTAGGAAAGAAGCTGTTCAGATACTTGGTGGTTTGAGATTTAATAGACCTGTAAGAAGTTTATAAAACTCGATGGTAACCTGGGCAGGAGAGGTCGTCAGCACTCTTTTCTGCCTGCTTCTTGGCTCTGAAATTGTTCAGATCATCAATGGAGGTGAGATGACAGCCAATGACCCTCTTCACAGATCGAACAACACACTGCAGTTTGCTTTTGAGATTCGCCAAACCAAATAGTTATAGTTGGAGTCTGAACGCTCTCCCTAATGGCTCTGTAAAATGGTAGTAGGATAGGTTAGGAGACACCAAAAGTTTTCAGTTGGTGCAAAAAGTACATTGTCCACTGTGCTTTCTTTGTGATACTAGTGATATTCATGTCCTATGTAAGGGGATTAGAAATAATGATTCCCAATAACTTAAAGCACTCCCCCACACTCACAGCCACATCATTGATTACTGGGAAGAGAGGTTTTGGACAGTTTCTGGAAATCAACCACCATCTCCAATGTTTCAATGGTATTAAGTTCCAGGTGGTTGATACTAACCAACTCCCCTCCTTCCTGTACATGGTCTAATCATCATTAATAATGTGAAGTACTGTACAGGGTGATGTCATCTGCAAACTGAATTACTTTGGCGGAAGAGTTGCTGAAGGTGCAGATATTGGTGTACAAGGAATAGAGTAATGGAGAAAGCACACGTCCTTGAGATACACCGGAATTCACAAACAGACAGTCTGATAAATACTGTAATGGCTGAGCCACAGCTGTGGCCTTCTAACATGGAAAAGGTGAAAGAAAAAAGTTGAAAGTTGAAAATCTACTGGCAGTCAGAAAGTGGAACATTATAGATTTATTCAAGGTCAGCTCTACAACCTTAATGTCTGTAGCTTACGTTCTGTATATGGTCTATTTCCATTAAAAAGTACTCAAGTGTGTAAAGGTTCAGCATCAATTACAATTAGACCTGGAACCTTGTTAAATAGCCTCCAAATCAGTACAATGTTCTTGAAATACTTAAATAAGATAATGGTTCCCAGCCCTGGTCCTAGGTAGTGCCTGTGCTAATCTATTACCTTAAATGAATGGCTTACATATTTACTTTTGTTTTCCTGTTTCTATATTCAGTTCTTTGTTTCCATAAAAACTCAACTTCAGGTACAGTATATTGCTGCAACCACTTCAGCATTCAAAACCTTGTGCAGTCTCTCCTCAGCTTGTTTATTAAGAGTTTGCTTCCTCACTTTTGTTTAAACAGATCTTAAACAGATAAATGTATGATGAACAAACATGAGTGGGAATGACAAAGCATCCAACCTTTTCACAATGTGCTTTTTTCCCCTGCTGTAGAAGTTACATTTCAGCTAACACATGTGAAAAAGGAACATTTTGAAACTCAGAAGAAACTATTGAGTCAATACCTCTTACAAATCTCATTCAAAGCTGAAAGCCAATTAACAAATTTCCTGAACAGATATCTGAAATAAATTAGATTATGATTAAGAATTCAGCTGTAGTGGAGCACAAAACAGAAGACACAGGAGTCTTGGCCCTGGGCTCAATTTCTCGGAAGCTATCTGTGTGATGTCACCCCATATTATTATGCGTTTGTTCCAGGTGTTCTGGTTTTCTCCTCCCAGAGCACAAAGACACACTGGTAGGTTAATTGGCTTGTGCGAAATGTGACCCTGGTGCGAGTGTGTGTTTGTGTCTGTAGGTGCCTTCTGATGGATTGGCATCTCATCCAGGGTGTACACTGACTTGTGCCCATTGCGTGCCAGGACAGGCTCTGCCTTTCCTGCGACCCTGCCTTAGATAAAAGCAATTACAAAAGGGACGGTGGAAAAACATATTTTTCCATAGACGATGTTTACTGAGCTTGGAGACGATGAAACAATCATTTCAAAACATGTGAGAAGAAAAAGTACTTTATGGGGTCAGCTTTATTAATGCGGGGGTTGAATTTTTCTTTTCTTGCTGTAAGACAAGGAGGCTCGAACCCCATTCAGATGGCTTGAACCAAGGAGGAGCTGCAAGATGGTGTTAAGACAGAGGAGAGATGCCTGAGACAAATGCGAAGGGGGGGCTTTTAGTTCGGTTTATGTGGCAAGTTTGGTGAGGATGGTGATTAGGTACAGCTGTGTGAGATTGACATTGTCGTTATTATCTTTTTATAACTTCCCATTATGTGGCTGGATACCCTATTTAGCAGCTACTGATTGCCTGAAAATGTGCAGCTTAATTATCACACAATTTGTCACATTAATATAACTCCAGCCCCCTTGCTTGTTTAATTCAAATTTGACTAGGCTAATTTGTCTTTGAGAGCTGGTTTTAATAAATAAGGTAACAAGACCTCTTGTAGCTGCACATAAGTTATACTAGCAAGATTGTAAAGAGGCTGAACACTGTAACGTCGTCATCTGCTTCCTCACGATCGCACAGCAACACCTGACAAGTCTCGATTTAAAGAGAGCTGGACTCGTATAAAGTGACCGTGCAGCCTAATTTGATATTTGTGTGCAAAAGGCACAACACAGGCAAAAACACACTGCCAGCTCATGAAGATCTCTGAACCCCAAGCCAAGTCAAAGAAACAGGTGGGGGTGTGGCACAGTTCAAATCTGACACCAACAAGATTGATATTCAAGATGAACAGTAACCATGGCCTCTATTTACCTCACACCAACAAAGTTTTCCACACTGGAGACATGATTAGGGAGAAGAGATGAGTGGAACGTGCTCCCACTGAAAACAAACTAAGTGTTTCCCTGGGCGCTGCGCAGAACCTCATCCCTGGGCAGATGGAGTACTGCCAAGTGTATCCCCGCTGGTAAAGATTGCACCAAGGTGGGGCTCTCTCTGCTGTTTTTGACATGCTATTTTCAAAAGGCTGTGCGCTGCCAACTGCACCTGGGAGGATTTCTGGAGATGCAAAGATGAAGTGCTGGGTCACCCACTTCACAGCTCTGGCTGGGCGCCCAAGACAAACTTTTAAGTCCCACATTTCAGTTCCTTAAAAAAGCATTTTGCATTACAGGTAACGTGCAACTGGTGGTAAAGTGCAGTAGGTGGTTAAGTCATGGCTTCTGGGGCTTGGAGTAGATTTCTATTGCACCTCATTCTATGTGCTTGTGTCATTGTGGGACATATTTCTAACTGGTTTTGGAGACTTTGTGGGAAGGTTATGTGTACTATGCTCTTGTGAGCGGTTGAACTTGGAGTTACATTCAAACACAGAAGATATTGTCTTATTTATTTAAACACATGTACTGTAATTGTTATTCTATTGTTATTCATTGTGGAGTCATTCTGTGACTAAATGAGAAATGTTTAATTTTAACCATCTTGAGATGTAGTGGCATCTTCAGGAAATCACCAACTTGCTTTTTTTCCTTCCATATGTGTGCCTTGTCATTTGCAATATGTGTTTGGAGAAGAACTGTTCTGGGTGTATTCATCGATTTGAGTGGATGTTATGGAGGTGTCTTGATACTCTACATTAACTCTTTTCTTTAAGAAATGTTAGTGATTATCTTTCTAAGTAAACTTGTTTGTCTTTGAACTGCGTTTTTAACAGTAATTTGTTATTAATAACGTGTCTAAATATTGTATTCTAAAAACTCAATTTCATCGCTATTTTTTAATTATTTCTGCTGCACTTTGTTTAGTTGTAACATGAGTTAATAAGTTACTTATTTTCTAAGTTACTCCCTGTAAAAAAAGCCACACTAATACACAATTATTTTACATGTTCATTTTAGAAGTTATCTCTGAGTCAAACATAACCATCAACCATAATGCCTATTTAGAAGTTGGAGATATGACCTACTACTTTTTTAAACTACTGTATGGCAGTAAAAATGATTAGAAGATTTTGCACTGAGAGTTCACAATATTCGTATTACTGTATATAATATTTACAAGTACAACTTTACTGGATGTTTTGCATAGTTTCGTTCTTTCCCTCTTGAGTCTTCTTAAATTGTAAGCATGCCACAAAATAAGTGGATTTACAGACTTGTTTAGAACTGACCATTTGTTATTTTATAATATAGTATAGGGAAGGAAAACATTCACCAAAGTGGCCGTTTGTATATATTAAAAAAATAAATTGCACCAGATTTCTTTATTTGTAAAGCTTAATATATTGTTGCAAAAAGTCCCATTAGACACATTTCCCGTTGGCCCTTACCAATCATGGCCTCCTAATAATCCCCCTCTATGAATTGGCTACATTACTCTGCTCTCCTCCCCACTGATAGCTGATGTGTGGTGAGCGTTCTGGCGCACTATGGCTGCCGTCGCATCATCCAGGTGGATGCTGCACATTGGTGGTGGTGGAGGGGAGTCCCCATTACCTGTAAAGCGCTTTGAGTGGAGTGTCCAGAAAAGCGCTATATAAGTATAAGCAATTATTATTATTATTATTATTATTACTAGTGTGCAATGAAGTACCTAGTCTGATTTACACCAGTCTTGCGAGGACACGATTTCTGTCATGAATTATACTGTTTTAAAATGTCCGCAAGAGGGCGACAGATTTATATCACCAAAGCGGTTCCAAAATGTCCCCGAAAAGAAAAAGGTTTTCTTAAAAAGGAAGAGGAAAGGTTTATAGGTGACTAGATAAATCATCGTAAGCTTTTGAGGGGTTCTTTTTGTTGCCATAATACCTCTACCACTGTTTTGGGGGGTTTCTCAATAATCATTTCAGGAAATGTAAAGCATACAGGAACCTGTTCTACAACTCGACCCGTGACAACCGAACGTTGCGAAACCTTACTTTATAAGACCTTCCGCCACAGTAGTTCATGTGGTTTTACAGGTTAAAGTCATGGCTGCAGACCACGCACTCCTGGCTGCTGTTACTTTGCTTTCTGCTTTGCATCAGGGTAAGCACTAGAATTTCTGCCCTCTACCAGGGTCCGCATTAGATAAGACGATTAATTACATGTTACGAGCTAGTATGGGAACTAAATTAATACTAGTAACGTCTACCAGACACATTTACGCAAAACTGGTTGTTTACGGTATATAGTTTAAACTATAGTATAAGGTTGAAATAATAATAATAATAATAATAATAATGATAATAATAATAATAATAAGTCTAATAGAAATCTCTAGTATTTTTGAAGATAACGATTTATTTGCTCGCGAGGTTGCAACATAATGTTTTTTGTCCACAAAGGTGTAAGGTTCTAAAATATCAGTGGAGTCGTGACTGACGAACAGTTTGCTTCCATTAAAATGGATGACGTTAATGACTGGAAGAAAAAGAAGATTATTTGTAGCAGGCTACAGACATACTGTACTACTGTATAGCAGGCTCCGGCTGTCTATTCTGTTGGTGGACCAGTGGGTGTCACTCTTAACTGGACTAGAATTTCCAGACCAGTGTCTCAGTGTGTTGGCTGGGGACAGTTTCTCTCTTCTCCACCTGATATGCTGGGCAGTGGGGCTGCCGTCACAGAACGGCTGATTCGCGTCTCTCAGGTAGAACATGAACTAAAGTTGTAGATAAATGGTCTCCTCTTTCTGCATGAGAAGTACTTTAGGATGAAAAACGCCCGTTTAAATGCAAATACTTATTATTATGTTTCTTTTTCATGTAATTCCAATGAAAAGGGCAGACTGCAAACACATTTATAGGGGTAATGTTTGCTCCCTAGGTTTAAGATGTTATTAATTAAGTTACCATCACGATGTGAGTCACTTATAAAGGCTTATTTGCATTAGACTCTTTTTTCTGTATAATTTTTGTTTACAAAAGTAAGACATTATAATGAGCTTCTGTTAGTTCTGCACTTGCTGTTAAGAGGAGAGTTTGGGAGGACCTAATAAAACTGCTTTGTTCGGCCTTTATCTGTCTTTCACTTATTTTCTTGCCAAACTGAATAAACATTGTATGGTTTGAAACAGTTAGAAAGTGTTTCACTCTCCGTCAAGTGTTTTTGACGCCTTTTTAATTGAGTGAATTAATCCTAATTAAAAGAAGCTAATTGGAAATTTCTTGTCTCGGAGAGCTTAGTAAGTACAACCGTTGTGCCTTTAGAAAGGTTGTCTGATGTTGGGGTGATTCATCATCACAGATTAATTAAAATTGTAACATGAATGTGGTTCAAAATTTAGAAGTAGTAGTAGTTATTAAAAAAAATGTAATTAAAAAAAAATTAAAGTCAAAACAACTCCTGAAAATGTGTTTTCAGTTTTTATAATCGGAAGTGCTTTTAATTTCTGCTGTGCTGGGAATCAGGATACAGCCTAATTTCAAGTCACTTTCAGTTTGAGAACTTCAACTAACATTCCTTTAAGAACTACAGTACAGCAGTTTTCATTTAAGGGTATTGCTCCTTGATCTGAAAAGGAGAGACATAAGCATGTTTTTGTTTTCTTAAAATGAGGAGTGCCATTGCTCTCTACTTAGTATAAATGGCAGACCTCAGCTTTTTCCATGCAGATAGGCTTTATCCTTTTGGGAGCTCAGAAGCTGAAGTTGCAGTAGTAGAAGATCATTAATGACTGTCAAGTCACCAACAAGAGGTGGTGCTTATATTGATCTAGTGTTTCCATACAATAAAGACAGAATGCAGGAACTGAGACCCTTCAGGATTTACTATTGCAACATGGTATGTTTGTAGGTATTTTTAAACTCTCTGCAGATAACCATCTATAGTTAAAGTATACATTTTTATGTACTATGGAGAAAACATAGTGAATCTAGATATGCTGGGTATATAATCCATAGAGGAAGGATAAAAATGTAATTCTAGAGGGACAAAACATTTTTCTTCAGATAAATTTAAGTCTTGGAAAATATGGCCCTGGTGGTTTAATTGGTCAGTCTAGAGAAGTATGAAAAATTACATCTCATTACAGAGACCGTGAAAGATAAATTATTCATAGAAATTTAAGGGATATAAAGAGCTGCAAACATTGTCAAAAGTAACATCAGGAAAGCTGATGGAAGAAGAGAATGAGGAAAATAATATTGAAAAAACAGGAACGAGAGAAAAGGATATTGAATTGCAGGTACAGTAAATATTCACTGAGCTTTTTTCCAAGTACTGTAATACTTTACTGATGTGTGTTAGGTCAGGAGTTTAGAGGATGAAAAGGGAATTTGTAAAATATTTTGAATGTTTTGTACAGGCATTCTCCGAAGAGGGCTATACCACATGCTACTTGCTGAGGAAGGACCCTGCTTGTTTTTTAAATGATCGTGACATTGCAGAGACATGGACTGGGAATTGTTAGTACTAACCACTAGATTTCCGATAGTACTTTAATAAATGAAGGAGCTGTGCTATTACCTCAGATGATCTGGCAGATTGGACAGACACTGCCCATTAGTAGGAAATGGGAAGTACAGTAGGAAATATTGTACCAATCTATGAAAGGAAAGCTGAAATCTAATAATGGTACTTTCGACCAGTCAGTCTTAAATCTTATTGATATCAAGTTACAGTTACAGTTAAACCAGGTAAATTAGATGGTACTGAAAGGCATAAAAAATGCAAGACGTCCTGTTGGATACTAAATTGTGTTCTTTGTGACTCGGTATATTATTGTATAAGAGAAAATTCAGATCCAGCTTAGACAGGGTAGGTTTCTGTTAATGAAACTGCAAAAAAAAACAAGCAGTAGCATACAGTATGTAGAAATGTAATACATTTTGAGTTCCAGAAAGCATTTCATAAGGTAGAAAAATATTATGTTAAGTTTGAATCTGAACGCCAACTGAGACTAAGGAGAGTTATATGGGTTGGGTTAAATCATGGAGTGCTACACGGACTTGTTTTAGGCCATTGTATCCCATTTTGTGTGTCTCACATTTAAAAAACTTTTTTTTCAAAATCTTGGCATGTCCTGTAAAAAACATTTTTCACATCACTAGATTTTAATGTGTTTTTTCATTCACTATTCATTAAAGCTTTTACTGATTATTTTGTGCATCACATGAGCGAACATCATGGCAAGTGAGACTGTTCTACCAGATAGATCATCCTGTAAACTGTCTGAGTCCAGCAGAGAGCTCATGGAGCTTGTTAGCAATGATACAGTGCGTTTCTTTTGGTTATTCATGATTTGACATATGACACCTTAGGTTCAGGTGGACTCTAACAGCAAGACTTATTTCAGTGGAAACACCTACCTGTAAGGTTTGAAGGTGTGTACCACAGTCTCAGCGATCTCCATTTGGAATTTAAAATGCGCTGCTGCTAATTGTATACATGTCAAATAAAACTACATTCAGAGCTCTGTATTATGCTGATGTGTGCTTGCCTGGTTGCTTAAAGCCATGTTCAACAAATGGTGGTCTACTGCAGCATGACAACATGCCATTTCAGAAACTGTCAATTGCTAGTGTGAATTTAAGCACATGAATCATTATCCACTCAACATCCCAGACTTAGACCCAAATGACAGTTATTTGCAGTATCATCAGAAGTCAGCACTGCGTGGCTCCATGACGATGATTCCTTGAAGTTGTCCACCTGGGGGGGGGGTTCTACTATCAGGGAATTGCTACCTTGAAGGACTAATGTTATGTTGAGATAAACAGCGCTAAATGCTGAGAAACAAAGATGTGAAATGAATGTTTCTATAAACATGAGTTGCAAAACATTTTGAATTCCCCTCGTGCTTTTACCTCAGGATGCAAATCCCCACTGGGATCACTAGGTGTTATTTTGTAATTAATAGATCTATACAGTCTCTCTTCTAATTAACCAAGTATCTACCCAATTCCAAGGAATATATTCATTTAAAGCAATATTTTAGAGAAACAAGATGATGTTTAGCTTCTAAGAAAAGAGCATCAGCTGGATTTCTGATTGTCAGTTTGGACATTATTTCAATGTTTGCTGATCATTGTCTTCAAATGTCTGTGTTTTTCTATCATAAGTTACTGTAAACCACAAATGCAAAAACAAAGATAATGTTCGTGATCACCACATTATCTATCATTTCATCCAACGGGCAGCCAACCTCCTACCTCAGGAGTGATCGGTTCTGGCTTTTTAACTCATCAATGAGATCAGTTTAAATGATTAAATTAGATGGAGTTCATTTCATTTAACTATCAAAACAGCACACTCTGCCGAATCTGAAACATGATGTAGGGTGCCTGGCACTCAGATGTGGTCACAATGAAGTTTCCTTGCCTGCATGTTAGCGGGAAGACAGAGCAGCACAGAAAGAAAACCTGCATGACAACAGGAAAAACATGGAAACTTCTCACAGAAAAGCTTCCCAGCTTTTCCCAGCTGGATTCAAACCTGTGACTTTCTAAGATGTAGCCATCACACCTTTTTGCCACCCCAGTGACACAAAACTTGACTGGAATTTCCGCATTGAAAGGCTGGAACTGACAACCAGTTACACTTAACTATTTTACACAATGCTGCCCAGGTTTTGACATTTATTAACTCATTGACTCATCCAGGTTACCTGGCCAGGAGAGTGGGAAAGTCTAGAATGAAGCACAATATCATGCCACCAGCCATCACTGGACACCCCGAGTTTGAGAGAGTCTTTCGGGCACAGTAAGTCTGAACATTGCACCACGCTGCAAAAATCAAATAGTTGTTTTTTTTTCTTTAGCTGCAGCACAATGAGTTTTCCACAGTATCGGAAAAAAATGGTGTGCACTCTTCATAAGTTGTTTTTCTAGAAATAATAGTAAAAAAAATAGTTTTATATTGCGCCTTTAAAAGTGGCTTCTCAAAGCGCTTTACAGTTCAGCAACAAAACAAAAGAGAAAAACATGAAAAATACACAATATCCAAATGAGAGGAGGTAGAAGAAGGGGGTGTGGGATACAGTTGGAGCAAAGGGGCACAGAGACCCAGTTAAGAAAAAGCTCTTCTAAAGAAGGTTTTGAGTCTGGATTTGAAGGAGTTTAGGGATAGTGACTCTCTGATCTCCTTGGGGATAGAGTTCCAGAGCTCTGGGGAAGAGGAGGAGAAGGCCCTGTCACCCACAGAGTGTAGACGGGCTAGGGGGACAGATAGGAGACCAGAATTTGATGAATGAAGGCTGCGAGGTGGACACTCAGACATGCACTGAGGTTGCTAAGCCATGCAGAGCCTTATAGGTGAGCATGAGAATTTTAAAGTCGACATGAAACCTGATAGGAAAGCAGTTTAAGGACTCCAGGATAGGAGTAATGTGATCACTTGCACTAGACCTGGTCAGGAAAATAAGAAACAAGAAATAAGAAAAACAACATCACTAAATTTAATCAGAAAATCAATTGTATTGCATCTTTTACAACTGTAGAACTAACTTCATAGTAGAAGTTCACTATTGCAATTTTTTGTATAGGTGCAATAATTTAGGTTTAGTTTCTAAACATAAGAAATGTCTGAATATTATATGTAAATCACAGGGTTGTACACTTGGATTTTTCCAAAAACTTGATACAAGAATATGAATGTACTGTAAGTATTAAGGGTACCTACATACAATGAAAAATACAATTTTGAATCAAACCAGCGTCTGTTAAATAACACAATACATGATCTAAGCTGTGCCATTGGACAATGATATGTAAGTTGTCAGACCTTCATTAGGGATGAAAAAAAACAAAAAAAACAGCTGTAGAGAACACCAGAAACTATACCAAGAAATAAAACTTATAAGATTAAGAAATTAATCCTCTTGCGTCATTAAAAAAATGAAAACTCAAAATACTAGTCGAAACCTGTGTTGAGGAGGTATGCATTATTATCCACTGATCAATAAGATTTGGCATTTGTCGAATAGCGTGAGTGAAATACAGGGCTCACTCTTCAAACCAATGATCTCCTGCTGGCGTGATTATTTATATCGTCCATCATGGTCCGTATCGGAGCGAAGATGAGGAATATTTAGGGCTGTAAAGAATTTTGTTTTTCATTGTCCAGCAGTGATCACGAGGGTCCCTACAATAGTAACCTACAATAGTAAGCATGTTTAGCGATAATGTGTTTCTCTTAAGTACAACTACCTAAGTACTGAGTAAGTGCAGTAAATTCCTTATCCGGTGTGCTAAGGCTGAACCAGTGTGTGCTTGTCACAGTTATTCATTATAGACTGAGCAAAGCCACGCAAGACCACATTTTCACTACTGCTTTATCAGTGTTCCTCTACTCCTCCTACACTAGTCTGTGTCTTTGCTGGATTTATCAACACAGCCTTATTCTTGAATGCAAATTTCAGCTTCACACCTCATTGATATGTTTATAAGTGATAGATGGAAAGAATTGTAATGTCAAATTTAATTTGCAAAAGAAGGAAAAATATTTGCACACGGGAATCGATTGACATATGGTACGATGCTAAAACGGAAATGCAGCTTAGCAACTAGGTGAATGGGAATTAATTGAATATTGCATCGCATTCACATAAGTGGTTTTAAGTTGAACACAGAAAGTCAACAAGGGTCTTCTAACCAATTTGAAAGTACAACGGAACTGTTTCTAGGCTTTCTTTTTCTATTTGTATTTTCATAGCCTAATGTAGTGTTAGAAATGTAATACAATGGTCCTTGTTTAATTCTGACTCTAGTGGAATTTCCTCTGAATCCCCAGCCTGATTAGAATAGGAACAGTGCTAATCATCTTGGATTAAGGGATCTGAATACCTGTTTATTGATATCATGGTCATGCATTCACCATATAATTTCAGTATTAATGGAGGAGTCCTATTCAGTATATTCATTATTCCTTACATTGGTTTTCTGGGTGAAAATCAATGCTGTTTTTTTGTTTAAAGAAATCCTCATAACTGGTGTGGCTGAAAAAAGACAAATATTAAATATAGAATTTGCAATTGTGCAGTAAGATAGATGTTTGTATTCACTTACGTTCATTAATTACTTTATAAGATGTACTTTAATTACACAAATACATTTTTTCAAAACTTTATATGCCAATCACAGATTTCAAAATGTGAGGATATTTTTGGAAGTGGAAGGGCCCTGTGGCCAAGAATCATTATCACCATGAGACAAGTTTATAACTTAATAATTAAATACTTACATATAGCATTTATCATTCCAGGGGATACTACTTTAGGTATTGGAGAGGACCTACTGGTAGTGGAGAAAAAAATGGAAACAGCAATATAGAGTCACTTAACAGGACACTGGGCCACTGCATGTAGCCAGTACAGGCTGTATACCTCTACCAGTGTCTGGAATGATGCCGTACCATAGTTTTACAATAAAGTCAAGCATCTCACACAGGGGTGATGGAGATGGACGACTCAGTCTCAGACATCATTTCAGAATATTGGGTTCAGATCTGTTTACTGAGAAGGCCAAGTCATATGGACATCATCCTGAACAGCATCAAGATCACCAGGCCACTGGGGGACTGTGTGTTCCCTGTAGATGGGGGTATTATCACCCTGGAAGATATTTCCCCCCAGCAAGTAGGAAGTGCACCAACATGGATTGAAGATGATCACTCAGTACCATTAATCAATGATTAGCATTGACCTTATGGATAAAAATATATATATATTTGAAAGTGAATAATATTCTAAACAGAAGGATGGTCGGAATCTAAGTATTAAACTGGGAGTTAGGCTAGGATCAATGGTATAAGTCTTGATTATGATATTATTTAAAGTGTCCCGTCTATTTTCTTCATAAAGTCTACCTGGATGTTTATAAAATTTGGATTGACCTAATCCAGAAAAATATGAACAAGTTATTAGTGTTTCAGGGCCTTTAGAGACATTACTATGGCAGCCAAGACCCCTCTCTACAGGGGAGGTATTCAAATACAACATCCAGAAGACTACTCAAGTATTTTCAAAGTCACGAAGATTATTTCTCATAAAGGACCACAATACAATTCAGAATCTGAACAAATAACATGTATTTATTGTTACAGTGAAAAGGCCAAGAGTTTGAAATGAAAGAAATCAGTGATGGATCAGAAAATGGAAAAATCTTTGAATGTTTCTAAAAACATGATTGTATTTTCATTGGCACCAGTAGTAGAAAACAACCCGCAAACAAATGTAGATGAGCAGAAAAAGATATGAAAACGGACAACTTACTGTAGCACCCAAGAGTTGAGATTGAAAATAAACTCCTCATTTTTAGGAGTGCGAGTGTGAAACATTATAGTGGAGAATAAACAAAGCAGGCTGAAAATAGAAATGAAATGAGACCACCATTAACCCCAAGTGGCCCCAATAAAGTGTTAACCACCAGAGGATAGGCAACTGATCTGCATAATAAGAGAAAAAAGCAGACAATAGAGGCAGAGCTCAGCTAATCGAAAGATGGAGCGCTGTCTAGTTCAGACTCGGGATATAGGAAGAGATTGGCTGCAAATTAGTCTAGCAAGGCCCATCTACTGTATATGTAGATGACAGATCATTTATTACAGTGATTAAAATGTGGAACGAGGTATTTAAAACACTCCAGTCAGGCTTTGTGAGGATTCAAAGTGGTTGATTAAGTCTGTGTACATTAAATCTTTTTTTTTTCACTGAGATAGACCTCAAGGAGATAACATCATTAGTGGCCCTGGGAATGAGAGAAGCTACCCCATAAAGCCAGAATAAAGCTCCTCCTCACACTAAACTATATACTTATGGCATGTCATCCTTGAGAATGAATGATTGGGCTTCATTTATCACAGTCAGGAGCATATGCGTGGTAGATGAAGATGGCAGCACATATACATGAATTAAGGTGGTATGATTCATTACACGAAGAAATAAAACAATGCTCTTTCACACTTGTGCCCTTAATTACGGAAATTAGTAGTCAGCACAGATGTTAAAGTGCAGCCCCCATTTGCTTAATTTTTAATTGTTGGATTAGATATAAACATCTCTTTGTTATGCAAGCTGGGTCCAATTCTACGATGTGAATGTGGTTATTTGATCCTCATCACTGTAAAGTGAATATGAAAATGCCAGATAAAGGGACTCCATTAAGCTAAAAACCAAACCATAAAGTATGATTCTACATCTTTTTACCTTTTCAGATTCAGTTTCAGCTTTTTAATTACATTTTCACTAACCTATTTTATTTTCTGTATTTTGTGAAAGAAGTAATCCTTTCTTGTTTGTAAAAACTTTTGAGAACAGAGGCAAATTGGAATCCAGCATTTGCAGTAGTTACAGAAAGAGCATAGATGCATGCTCCAACTCATTAATCAGTTAGATGTTTTTTTTTTATTACATTGAATTTTAAGAGGAGCTGGGACACATTCCCACTTTTACTTTTTTCTTGTAAATGTAGAATTCACAGTTACTGTTGTTACAGTTTTCTTTACATATCTTGACTTGCCGTCACTACCCATGGAAGAGACCGAGAAAGTGTTGCCCAACTCTTCCATTCTGCTCACCTTTCAACCACGTGTCATTTCACACATCAGCCCCATACCTAAGGATTAGCTCTGTTTAGGGGAGAAGTGCATCCCTCCATTGTTGTCCACTCAATGAAAGAGGAGCAGTAGAGTCATCATGTGGCCACTGGTCATTTGTGACAGTCATTGTACTGTACAAGAATTTGTACATGGGCTGTACCTTATTTCAGCTATTTAACAAAGAGCTTGAAGAGTAGGAGACAAAACATTTTTTTAGACAACTTTCAATACTTAATTAACAAATACCATAGAAGAAACACTTTTTTGTGATTCTAAAGATGCCCACATACCTGTACTTAGCAGCACTAGTGTATCAGTACTTCTAAGAAAATAAACATAAAAATGTCAATAATGATACAGTGAAAAGAGTTAAGTAGTACTATTGAAATATATATTTTACATAACAACATGAATATAAGGCAAAAGTACTGAATGTACTTAATCAAACTGATCTTCTTTCCTGTTAAATTAAATTAGAGGAAATAAGACAAGGTAATCTAGAATAAATAATTTAATTCAACATATGTCTATATGTCTGTGTTAGTCATAAAAAACCTATATCTGAACCTATAGAAAGAGACATTTGACTTTCAAATATAACGGAATGGCAATTGCCAGAAGTTTCCTGCAATGTATAAATTGTCAATGTATATGTCTAACATACTGTTTCATGTATTCCTCAGTCAGAACTGTGTGGAGTTTTATCCAATATTTTTAGTGATGCTCTGGATGTCCAGCCACTTTTTTAATGAAGGTATGGAAAAACTAATTTGATATTTTTTTAGTAGAACAGTAACAAGCAAGTTAATTTTATAATTTTGCATATATGATCAAGATGTATATTTCATTGAAAAGAAAATATTTTTTTAAACTTAAGTTTAATTTGAAATTTTAAGCCTACATATCCATGACTCAGGTCTCCAGATATTTGTATCTTTTCCATGTGATAGCAGGAATCACAATGTGTAACTCACAGTTACTCACAGTAACTCATTCTTTACATGAAAACAATGGGCAGTCTTTAGACCACTTGTTCATCTATCTCTGATCTTGTTACTTTGAGACAGTCACAATGGGCACAAATACCAAAAAATGGCCAAACATTTTACTAATAATGAATTGGATCATTCTTGGGGTGGGGTGATTTGGCAGGTCAGACAAACAGAACAGGTCTATGTACTCTGACCACTGAAGTGGACACTTTTGGGTTCTAAGTAGGCAACTGTTGCTTTATAATTTTGGAATAATTATTTTCTATACAGTATATGGTGTCATCCAGGCTGAAAAAAAAAAACCTCTTGCTTGTTTAATGATGCGCTATTTGGAACAGAGAAAAATATTACTTTGTTACCTCACTATACGTACAGTATTTGCTTCAAATGAAAGCTGATGTACAGTATGGACCTGATTTATAACTTTAACCTCCACTATTTTAGTCAGTTGTTGACATAGCCCAGGCTTGTAGCAATTTATTAGATATAAATTGAGTAGTGCAGAACAATATACTTTTATGATATATATTAGTGTAAGAATATTTATTGAAGAAGGACTGGGTAAAAAAATAAGAACATTCCAGCATTGTGTATAATTCCATAATTAAACACATCATCATTCCATGTTAACTGAGTGATATCTAAATATAATTGTCAAGAAGACTTCCTTTATTTTTCAGTCTTTACTAGTATTTGGGGATGGAATCTATAAAGAAATTTAACTTTACCTATTCTTTGTCTGGATTAAACTCTTAAAAAACAATCACACTGCACTGACAAAATCAGAATTTTTATAAATAGAACTTTCTTGACAGATAAGGCTTGAAATACTTGTATGATGGTAACATTCATTCTGTGAAGATTTACTATATTTTAGGATAATCAAGTGATTCAGAATCTTCACTGGAATTGTGCTGGCAACATGGCAACACTATAATTATTCAAAATTTATAACAAATCAAACCTTTGTAGATAACTCTACCTTGGATATTTCTAAACAAACCAAGTTAAAAGTTAAAAGTAAAGACTATTTTATCCCCTTTCTTATGAGAAGGTTTAAATATGTATACAATTCAAATTAAACTAACACCTTCAACAAAAGAAGGACAAAATTCTGACAGGTGGACACACTTGAGCTGAAAAAATCAATTTAATTAATTCACATTTAGAGACAATCCTTAATTTAACTATTGTTAACATGTCTTTGGTTGTTGGGGGAGTTTATTTAATTGTTGTACCTGATAGTGTACAACCTTTTCTTATGAGAAGGTTTAAATATGTATACAATTTAAATTAAACTAAGACCTCCAACAAAAGAAGGACAAAATTCTGACAGGTGGACACACTTGAGCTAAAAAAATCAACTTAATTAATTCACATTTAGAGACAATCCTTAATTTAACTATTGTTAACATGTCTTTGGTTGTTGGGGGAGTTTATTTAATTGTTGTACCTGATAGTGGGTTACTGGGACTTAATATTACCAGCCAATGTTAGAAAGTACCTCTTGTCAGATGCCTGCCAGACAGAAGAAAACTTCAAGTTCTCACCAAAGCAGATCAGCTCTTAGCTGATTTCTCACAGACTCATGAAATAGACCAAGAAACACTCTACATGTGTGTGCTGGAGATCATTACAGTATCACTGTACAGTGCATTTTAGTCTGCAGTTTTCTTCAAGTGATTTGTAAAGATCACTTCTGTTTGACAAGAGCATGTGTTTATTCTGTGAATGCATCACTCAGTATACTTCAGCATAAAGGCAAATGCTGTTGCCAGCGTGGGATTGAAAAGGATTAAAATAAACAAGACCTACTATTTAAGTACCAAGGCTTGGATGCAGATCATTAACACACTAACACTAATGTTTTGAAACCCCAGTAACCTTTCAACCAACTGTGAAGCTTTAAGTCTGATCTGAAACTAACGTTAAATAGGATGGTATTGAGCCAGAGACCCACCCACCCAGGAAACACCAGCACTATCCTTGTCATATTATGGAGCTACATCTTGGGATTGTACAGTGTTTGCTGTACAATTGACAGTATTTTAAAACCAGTAATGTAACACACCAGCAGCATCCAGCCCTGTCCCAGTGCCAGATCTATGACAATGTAGCAGGGACCAAATAATGAAGAATTATATCACAAACCTCCCAGTCAACAGGAGAACAGAAGCATACACAGCTCCAGTAACACTCACTCTTATGTTGCGCAGTGTCCTCTAACATCTGATATTTGTCTGTTCATTGCCAGAGATCTGTTTGAAAAGATTATTCCTTATTTAAAGGAGCAGCTGGCATTTTGTTTTGGCCAGAAAGACTCCACCGCAACCACAGCTCTTAGGAAGCTTGGGGAACTATAACATAAAAGTGTTCTCAGCTAAACTGTGAGAGGAGATGAATTGCCTTGTCAATGTTAACCATTTAAGGATGGATTTAGGGTTATGAGACCAGATAGTTAGAGATACTGTGCTTAATGGCTTTCAAAATAAGAAGTTAGCTTGTAAAGGCATGACCTACAAATACACAGAAACAGGCAAAAGTGGGGTTGTGCAATTTTTTTAATACTGCTAAAGTATTAACAAGAGTAGTGTTACAGGGTTTGGTTGTTGGGGATTGTTTAATAGTGGTACTGGACTTCCTAATAACCAGTCAATAGCAGGCATTACTGTATATCTGTCCAAATACCTTTCGGAAAGAATGTTCTCACCAAGGAACAGGGGTTGATCACATGCACTCTTTTGAAACAGAGAAAGCAGTGTACTTTTGTACAGCAGCTAAAGCATCACTATTGCAATATTGTTGATTAGCTCTTTTTTGAAAGTAATTTTAATGCAAAGGTTCACAAAGAGCACTTTTGAGAATGCATTATCCACACCTCACTCATTAAAAGTAACAGTCAAAGCAAGCTCATGTCAATATTTATACTTTGATAAGAAAGTGAACATATTCTAAGAAAATAACATCAGGAAAATGGCTGAGTAGTCAGCCAACAGTTTAATTAGTAGCTGTAGGTATTTTTTTAACACGTTTAAAGAAACAAGGTTAACAGTGGATGCATTGCATTCTGTCTAACCATACTGTATCTAAATCTTGTTCCTTTTCAGTGCTAGCTGCAGTCCTTGGCCTATTTTACCTCTTTGCTCGACAAATGTATTTTAATGGATATTCTACCTCTGTTAAAAACAGGTAAGAGTGAATGTAAATGTGATATTTCCTAAGAATATAAAGTTTCTCCTGTGTCTGGCTTTATGTGAATTAGTGTAGGCTCAAGAATTTGTATTGTCCACTTTGCAAGTGAAAACCTAAAAGAAATGGCTATTTTCACCCATTTTCACATAGAAATACAACAGATAGGAAAAGCCAGTTGACACTGAAAGTGTTCCTTCCTTCTCCACTATGATGCACTGATGACTGGAACAGAAAATACCTTCTAGTATTTTCTGACCCCACGAATGAAACCAACTACCTCTTCTTGCACTAAAATCTACTTAAAACTTAAAGTTTTAAACTTGAACAGGATCTTTATTAAGCACCAGTTTTGAACTAGGTAATTGGGTAAAAACTATTTTAAAAAGTACTAATATCTTTGTTTTCAAGAAATATAAATACCTTGTTAGTTCTAGATGGCTCGTTTGTGCACTTTCTGCACATTCTAGTTGTAGAGCATATAGAATTGAACATGACAGCAATTCAAATTTTTACTTAATATTTAATTATGGCTCAGAATCTGTTAAAAGGAAGATGATAGAATCTCTAACTTCATAGTGCGGTATTAAGAAATAGTACAGGTGTCACTAGACCACTGATCTCTTGGTTCATTAAAACTGATGTGACTGTGATGAGTGATGCAATTCCATCACTACGATTTGAATTTTGATCTTGGTTTGAGACTGTAAGCACTGATGTGAAATATTCAGTGGCACATGCCGTATCGTCATAAAAGAAAGTGAAAATCTCATTTTATCTGCTGTTAGGAGTGGTGGTGGACCAGTAGGTGGCACACTTGCTTCTAGACTAGAAAATAAAAATAATACCCCAGTATAGTATTCTGATTACCTGGTTGGGTAACAAGAACACATGGCACTCTTCAAAGGAGTCAAAGAAAATTCTCCAGAATTTACATAGCAATTCTTAAATCACGTAGCACAATGCAGTGGATGTAACCAGCTTGGTGTCAGTTACTATGATGTATTATTTTCTTTTTTTCAGGTTGCCTGGGTTTTACCTGAGTCTGGCCCTGATCTTTGCACTCGCTGTAACAGGTGGAGCAGGCATTCTGAATGGGATCCTTGATGAATACTTTGACATCAATTTAAGAAAGAAAATGTTCAAATCGTAAAAAAGTAGCTAGTCCTGACTTCATAAAGCATGTTCTTTTCCCCTGATATCTTGTATACTGACGGTATATTCCTTTAAAGCAAACTTGGTTCTGCAACATTACTGACTATAAATTCTACTGTGCAGATTTAAGACCAGCCTATAATAAGACAATGTTTTCTGAACATTTGATGGACATTTTGTAATCAATATACTGTATTCTATATACACTTTAACTTTTATTTTTTCCTATTTTGTTTTCTTTTTATGTTTTAAATTCTCTGGAGATGATGCAATTCATTTACCGTTCAATATAATTTTATTAGCTTACTGCAATGAAGAATTTGTCCAATTCATTACTTCTGACTAATACAATGGAACTTTATGCCTTATGCATTTTGCCATGTCTTTGTCTCCATTCTGTTTTCATGGCTCATGACTTTTTCTTTTCCTAATGAAGCCACTCGGCCTGCCAGGCAACCTGAGGAGCTTAGTGGCTACTCTTTTCTTTCAGAGAACCAATGTTACAGGAGTGACCTAGTGAACCATTTCATTTAGAAGAGATGGGTTTACCAGAGGTGAGAAGTCCATACAGGGAATGAAAACCCTTCAGAGTGATCCATCAGTGCAGGACCCTTTTTCCTAGTGTATGAAAACTGTGTATCTGAAATGAGAAGGTATCTGCACAACTGCACAAGGGAGTTCAGGTGGAGACGCACAGAAGGTGCCAGAGGCACAGAAGCAAGGTGGAGCCAGGCATTTCTAGACTGCTCTGATGTAGGGACCTTTGCAGAGGCATAAAGCTTCCTGAGCTGTTGAGAAATCTCCTTTGTCATTTGGAAATGGTGAAGAATAATAATAATAATAATAATTGCTTACACTTATATAGCGCTTTTCTGGACACTCCACTCAAAGCGCTTTACAGGTAATGGGGACTCCCCTCCACCACCACCAATGTGCCGCATCCACCTGGATGATGCGACGGCAGCCATAGTGCGCCAGAACGCTCACCACACATCAGCTATCAGTGGGGAGGAGAGCAGAGTAATGTAGCCAATTCATAGAGGGGGATTATTAGGAGGCCATGATTAGTAAGGGCCAATTGGAAATTTTGGCCAGGACACCGGGGTTACACCCCTACTCTTTTCGAGAAGCGCCCTGGGATTTTTAATGACCACAGAGAGTCAGGACCTCGGTTTTACGTCTCATCCGAAGGACGGCGCCTGTTTACAGTATAGTGTCCCCATCACTATACTGGGGCATTAGGACCCACATGGACCGCAGGGTGAGCGCCCCCCGCTGGCCCCACTAACACCTCTTCCAGCAGCAACCTTAGTTTTTCCCAGGAGGTCTCCCATCCAGGTACTGACCAGGCTCACACCTGCTTAGCTTCAGTGGGTTGCCAGTTGTGAGTTGCAGGGTGATATGGCTGCTGGAGTCAGGCTGAAAGTGAAACCTAAAGGAATCAGGATATGAAGATACATCACCTTCTTAGTTTTTGTTATATGTGTGCTAATGTGAGCCAAAGCTGAGAGCAGGACGCTGTACAAGGCTCATGCCAGTTGCAAGTGCAAGGGCCTTTGTTAGTTTAAAATAGTGTCCAAACTTGGTGCAGTAGTCATCCACTTCCTGAATCAGTGTCCCCCAGGCCTACATGAAATAGGGTTATGGTATTTAATGCTTTTGCACACTGTCCTCCAGCAATGAAGGTCTTTTTTAGGAATAATTGTTAGAACAAGCAGGGTCCTCAGACAGGCTGACCATAGAGGGAGGGTCAAGAAAGCTATGACTGCAGGGTGCATGAGATGAAATCCAGGACATTTCAGAGCTTCAGCCCCTTGGACAGCAATGAAGACCTCAGACCCCTTCATCGAGCATGGAGCATCATGGGGATGGCCCATGAAGAGGGCAGTCCCACCAGAAACCTGTGGCACTTAGGCACAGGCCCATCCAAGGAAGCACTGTCCAGCACAAATCGATGGAGCAACTCTATGGGTCAAAAGGTCAGTCTGTCCTTAATTTTAAGGTGACCCTATCCATTGAAGCCCACATTCTGGAGGATGCTGAGAGGTTCTCAAACTATCCTGGTCACCATGTCCAGACAGGCGTGTATCAGAGACGGGCTGGCTCAGTGCAGTTGACCTCCTCAGGTACTTATCCCTTGAGTGAGTCAAACTTCTCTTCTCCTGCAGAGAGAGGACATCCAATGAAAAAGGAGGCAATACAAAACAGGTAATGTCATAGAGGTAAACTGTGTCCTCGGTCTATTGCCACAACAGTGGTAGGAAAGACTGCTGCTGCCTAACAATATGCTAATGTTTCCAGTGGGTGAGGTGTGAACTCTCTACAGTGTTTTCACTAGCCATGTGGAGTGAGACAAGGAGTAAGACACCATGATAGAGGAACCGGAGAGTGGCGGGATTTGGAAGCAGACAGCCAGTTTGGCCTAGGTCTCACCAACAAAGAAGGTCCTTGTTTTGACCAGTATCTTGACCAGATACTAATTCAATGTTGCTAAGAATAATTCTGGAACTGGCGTGCTCTACCGAGGTAGAACAAGTGACAAAAACCATTAAAGTTTCACAGTGAGAAATCTAATCAGATAATCTGTAACCACTGCTTTTGAACTTTGAATTAAATAAGAGTGTCGTGTATTAAATTACATACGACTTAAAATTGCAAAGGAATATAGAGTTATATCTAGCTGAGTGATATTTGTAGAATTCGCTAATGGGAATTTGCTCTATTCGTGTATAAATCAAATACTGGAAATAATTAAAGTCTAATCACTACCATGAAACAATTGTTCAAAGCCACGGTCTTTTGCTGTACTGACATCTCTCGTTATTATCCAAAATTTTACAATCCATCCCACTGTCTCTATCAAAGTCAGGCTATCAGTGCCAATAATGAATGAAGTACTCACCCATATTTTACTTGGAAACTGGCATATTGTTGTTCACCAAGTACCTGAACATAAATAACATTTATATTATTTTTTGTTTTGTTTAATTTGTACTATACACTTGGAATTATATGGGTGGCATGGTGGCACAGAGGTTAACATTGCTGCCTCATAGTGCTGGAGCCGTGGGTTCAGTTCCTGGGGTTCTATCTGCATGGAGTTTATATATTCTCCCTGTGTTAATCTGGGTTTCTTCCCACAGTCCAAACACATACTGGTAGGTTAACTGGCTTTTGGGAAAACTGGTCCTGGTGAGAGTGTGTCTGTGTGTGCTCTGTGATAGACTGGTGTCCCATACAGGGTGTATCCTGCTGTGTGCCTGTTGCTTACAATTATAGGCTGTCTCCCTTGCAACTCAGTATTGGATAAAGGGGTTAGAAATTGGATGGATGAATTTACAATTATCCAACAAGCTAGAAAGAAGTAAACAAAAACACAAGTACACTCCACTTTTAAAACCTGTAATGTGAGAACCAATGCATTATAGGGGTGTGTTAGTTAGAGCTGCAGCCTCACAGCCCCGGGTCCTGACTTTAAGTCTAGACTCGTGTATCGGTCTGTATGGAGCTTGCATGTTATGGACGATGATATTTGTGGGATGTTCCAGTTTTTTTTCCCACCTTCCAAAGAAACATGACTGCTAGGTGCGACTGATAACTCTTAAATGTTCCATGTTGCTGTGATAGATGAGAGTGCTGTCCAGGAAGAGCATGGGAATGGGCTCTCAGGCCTCTGCTTCTGAGATAGGGCCTCACCTAGGTAAACTACTTAGAGACGGGTGGCTATGAGATCCTGAAACTGCTTTTTAAATTTAAAAAAAAAAATCATTTCTGTGTAACATCACTTGCCACTGAATTTTTGAAGCGCCTATTATTATTGTAATAATAATATTGTAGCTCATTTTGGAACACAAACATATTGTCACAGATGGAACACCAGAGATTTGTGGTTTGACAGTCTAAGTGAATTCACAATATAATCAAAAATATCTGGGGAAAATTGGCCCAGGTTTTACTGAAGGCAAATTCCCCATTTGTTGTTTTGACTATGTAGCTGGCAGGTTCCTCAAATGAAAAAAACAGCACCAGTTAATGCCCGTATATTAGCGCTATCAAAATTTAAATACTCCACACCCATGTTAATAAAATCTGTCAGTTAAGGAAGAAAAGCTAAAGCTTGCATTTCCTTCAGTGTGTATTGAACAGTTTCAGTTTTATTGTATTAGCTAGAACTTTCTAAGTTTCTTTTGTGAAGCCTGGTATCCCACACAGGGTGAACCCCGCCTTGCACCCATTGAATTGGAAGAAGTTGTTAGAAAATGGATGGATGGATTTTCTGCAGCAGTTTTGGAAGTTGTTTTGTAACCTTTCCTGGTTTATATTGTTTTGCCGGGTCCTTGCTGTTGTACAATGAAATCCAAGCATCAGAGGACTTGTAAATGACCTCTGATTGAAATCTGAAATCTGTGCTTATATTTGTGGTGACATGCATTGCTCTGTGCTCAGTTTGTGACTTGTTAGGTTGGTGTTTTTTAATAAAAGTAGCTTTAATGCTAGCTTTAAATAACAGGATATGGCCTTTTGTTCAGAGATTGCTTGTTGTTTGAATAGGAGTTTGGAACAATTAATCCAGCCACAATGTTGACGATTTCCTGGGAAACTTCAATATGCAGCAGCCCATAGTCTTTGGATTAACATGCTGGGCTAAATGGATCCCACTACTTTCTAGCCTTTCTTGTCTGTCATTATGACTATACAGTACCAGGGCAGCAGCTTAGCCACACTGGAGCTAGAACACATCAGATCTCAGAATTTGTGTGAGGCAACGGTCAATGGTCAGTGATGGATAGCATTTCTCCAAAGAAAACTAGGTTGTTGGTGAAGCAGTAGTGGGAATCTCCCACTTGCAGGAATTTCAGAAAAAAATTCCTAAGTAAAGCGCCCAAGAAGACTGTTCTTTCCTACTGACCCAGAAAAGAAAGGCCTAACTATATCATCCGGGTGGATGCTGCACATTGGTGGTGGTGGAGGGGAGTCCCCATTAACTGTAAAGCGCTTTGAGTGGAGTGTCCAGAATATAAGTGTAAGCAATTATTAATTATTATTATATGGTCCCTAAATGTAATAAATGTAAGTGTTGACAGTGTCCTGGTTACACTTTCTCTGGGCTTGTAAAATCTGGCTGTCCTGACTTTCCCTTTGAATTTCCCCCTAAAGAGCTGAGCAGTGGGGCAGCCGGTGCATGATGGTTGCTATAAGTCACCCTTTTGGGTGCCACACTAGTGGTGAATAAAATGGACCCCCTCCTAAACAGTAAGTATTTGGAGATTCTTTGGAATGAAGAGCACTATATACTCTAATTATACTGCTCTGTATGCAGGGAATTCTTATATCAGAAAAATAACATTATGAGGAGCTCCTGGGAAGTGGCATTA